CATCCCTTATTAACTCATTTATCAAATGCTCAGAGCATCTTCTAATTTTTTTCTTTTTTTAATATTGTATATGTTCCTCCTCATCCCCACCCCCCCACACACACTTTTGCCCTCCTTCACCCAGCCCCTACTTCTCAAAAGTGCTTTTACATCTATTGTTTTTTCTGATAAGGGTCAGTGAGATCACTTCATCCACCATTAGAATTAAATGACAGATAAGAAACCTGAGGTTGAAAAAGATAAGAGAGCTACTAAAGATTATATAACTAGGCAGAATTAGAGCTTGAATTCCTGCTTCCTGACACCGACCCCCCTCCTGTCAGTATTATTTCTGCTATATTATGTCAGTGGTCAAGCCTGTGGACTCTGGAGGGGAATCTCAGGGTTAGGAGGAATTTAATGTCATCCAGGCTAACTATATAATTTAGGGACTTTAAATGTCATGTATGTTAATTATCCAGGAACCCCCTCAGAAAATGCCCTGCCAAGTGTTAGCAGCTCCCACAGCCACACATTTTACCTTTAAGTATCTCTGAATATTTATAAATCCTCCCTATCGTGAGCTCAGATCTAATTCCCTCGTTTTCTACTCATTCACTGGTTATATTTGTGGCATTTATGGCAAGCACATACATACATTTGCACACACACTCACACTCACATACACACACACACACACACACACAGTCACACACTCACACAACATGAGTATTTCTCATGACAGTCTTCCAAATGATTTACCTCTGAGGAATCATTTTTCCATGCTTAATAACCTTTGCTTCCTTCACTCTTCCTTCAATGAGAGGATTTTCATGCTCCTTATTGTCTGGCCTCTGGCCTCTGGCCTCTGAGTCTCCCCTCAGTGCTCCTTGTAATGACTACCGCAACCTCACTCTGACCTCTGATCTTGGCAAGAGCTCCATGCTGAGGTCTGCTAACCCTGAAAGAATACGATGAGTCCAGAATCCTCCCCCTGCTCTCATCTCACAGCAGGATCTGGAATAGCATGAACTAGAACAGAGATTCTGAAACACACTAACCAAGAACTGAAACTGGTTTTTGTTCCAGTGACTCAGGAATTGTTGTAAACACGTACCCACCTGGAGAAGACAACTAAAATGACAGCTAATTCTGCAGGAGAGCCAGCTGATGCATGAGTCCCAGGCACCCTGAGCCAGAGGAAAGGTAATGCTTCACAGGCACCAATTGCTCACCCTCAACACATGGAATAGCTAGAAGAAGCAATGAGTCGTGCTTCAATTATTCCTGCCCAGAAAACACTACAGTTCAGAGAGCCCATTATTCATGGAGGGGCAGTTTAAGCGGCACACCTGAGCAGGAGAATTGCTTTGCTCTGGATCTTGATTCACTTTCTTGAGCTTTATATGTGGTTTTTCCCCCCCCTTTTGTTTTCATTATAGAGGTAATTTGAAGCCAGGCTGGTTGATTAGGCAGAGCAGTTCCTAGAAAGTGCACAGGGCAGCCACAGATCAGAGGGTGAAGTCTTTCAGGAACTGCTGCTGGGCTGGGCTGGGCTGCAGGAACCATGATAGGAAAAGAGCTAAAGGGCTGCACGGAAGCTCAGGAAGCCTGAGGCCTCTGGGTACCATTTCTGGTGCCTCTTGGCCCTTATCCTGTACTTGTAGTGACTGAATCCGTGCTTGAGACCAAGCCCTCACCTTTAGCCTAGGTCTGGGAACCAGGGTTTTGACATGTTCCTTATGCTTGGTTATCAGCCCAGTGCTCTTAAATAAGGATGCCCTGCAACACTTTCAACAGCCCTTCCTTTCCCTAGAACAGCGGTCGGCACACTGCGGCTTGCGAGCTACATGTGGCTCTTTGGCCCCTTGAGTGTGGCTCTTCCACAAAATACCATGTATCCTAATTAACTTAATAACAATGTCCCTACCTACATAGTTTAAGTTTAAAAAATGTGACTCTCAAAAGAAATTTCAGCCGAGACCGGTTTGGCTCAATGGATAGAGCGTCGGCTTGGGGACTGAAGGGCCGGGTTCGATTCCGGTCAAGGGCATGTACCTTGGTTGCGGGCATATCCCCAGTAGGGGGTGTGCAAGAGGCAGCTGATCGATGACTCTCTCTCGTCGATGTTTCTAACTCTCTATCTCTCTCCCTTCCTCTCTGTACAAAATCAATAAAATATATATATATATATATAAAAAAAAAGAAATTTCAATCCTTGTACTGTTGATATTTGGCTCTGTTGACTAATGAGTTTGCCGACCACTGCCCTAAACCATGCAACGGCAGCCAGGACCTTGCTTCCTCCTGCCAGAACTTCCTGATGCTGGTGCCCTGCCCGCGCCTCTGCAGGACCGCCATATCCAGACTCTCCACTGCTAGGTTCTGCCCTCCTTAGCAAGCCCTCAAACCCTATCCTGTGCCACATCTCCCTAGCCTACCCTCTGCTTATACTTTTACCTAAGGACTCACCGCTCTCTATCACGATATACCGCTTTCTTTGCTCACTGCCAGCAGCTGGGTTGACACTAACCCAAGCCAAGGGACCAATTCCACTTCCCAAGCCCTTCAGGTCTATCGGATGTTGCCACTTTTCAAGACTCTTCTGCTCGAAGCATCATTAGAAGAAAATGGGTGAGAAGATAAGCTTTAGAACAGTGATGTGCAGCCTGGGAACTCTGAGCAAGGTGAGGAAGGAGGATGCTGTTTCCCACAGCCCCTCTTCCACCAACCCCACCCCCATCCCCTACTTGCCTATCTAGCAACCTGATTTCTGCCACAGTGAGGACTGGGCCAGTTCTATGGACACCAAAGCAAAGGAACTACATAACGATTTTAGCTTAAGTGCTTTTGATTTTTCTTTTGGAATATTGATGGCAACTAACAAATTACAGCCAAGTTCTATTTACAGCTCTGAGGGTATTTGAATTCAGGAAAACACACTTGCACTTGGCGATCTTGAGGATATATTTAAATTCACAAAGAACTATTTTTGACACATGGTGATTTTTTTCTACAGAAATAATAACTCTCCATTTGCTACTTAATGTGATAAACAATGACACAGCTTCTTTTCCATCTCTACCTCTAAACTTAAATTTAATAGCAATCCTCTGCTGAGGCAGAGAGAACAAATGATCTAGTTGCTCATTCATGGAAAACAGAAAAATTTTCCAGGGACTGTTTCTTTGAGGTGTCTATTTTAAGATATTTGAAGGGGTGTAGGTTACAAGGTGAGCATCCAAACTTTTGAAGAGCAAGAATCAGGAATTTCAATCAAGGGGTTGCTTATCAAATGCTCATACACAGAGTATGTCCCCAAATAGGCTGAGCTTGTCACCAGATTTCATGTTTCACAACCCTATCCTATAGCTGAATGTCAAAGCCACCTTTGCAAAAACAGTATCCTTTTGTTAGACTAAGTAGAAAAATACAGTGAAAAGATTTCTTGCTATTCTCCAAGTAAAAGAAGATCTTTCTCCTAAGAAAAACAATGCTGAGGGGAAAAGCCAAGTATTGTTTTATACAGTCTCCAAATTCCAAAATACCATTTAAAAAAGAATTACACCCACGATTTATGCACAACTCATTAGATAGCAGGATAAAATGAACTGCTAAATTTTAATTGCTTTGAAAGAATAGACATCATGAAATACACCCCCAACTTCTTGAGATTACAACCTATTCTAGTTAACATCTTCACCATAATGTACGCCTTGTTCAAATAGCCTACCTTGATTAAATTAAAACAGTATTTTTAGTTTTGTGCTTTGATAGGCTCCTAAAAAAATATTTAGTTAAGCAATTTGAAGGCCAAATGCTATCAATATGTAAGCTTTTTATTGTGAAAGTTAATAGGTTTAATCTCATAAAAAAAAGATGAAATGTTGTCATTTGTTAGAGCATTGATGGATCTTGTATGCTCATTGAATAAGCCAGATGAGAAAGGGGGGGAAACATGTGATTTTATTCAATTGTGAAGAAAAAAAATACAAAAATGAACATACAAAAAATAAAAACTCATTCATGCACACAATGGATTGGTGGTAACCAGAGGAGGAGGAGAGAGAGGGTGAAATGGGTAAAGGAAGTCAAAGGTGCAGAGACAGATAGAAACTAGACCTTAGGTGATGAGCACCTGAAATTTATGTAATGTTAAAACCAAAGTTCCCTCAATAATTAAATAAATAATAATGGATTATTTGATTTATAGCAAATAGCCTGGCTGGTGTGGCTCAGTAGTTGAGCAGCAACCTGTTCACCAAGAGGTCATGGTTCGATTCCCTGTCAGGGGAATGCCTGGGTTGTGGGCTCAATCTCCACTAGCAGGGCATGCAGGAGGCAACCAACCAATGATTCTCTCTCATCACTGATGTTTCTATCGCTCCCCTCTCCTTTCCTCTCTAAAATCAATAAAAACTGTATTTTTAAAAATTGTAGCAAATATTTAACATCTGAAAATAAGAACTTAAGATTTATATTTAAAACACCTTATTCTAAATAGAAAATTTCTTTAAAAAAACAAACTTAGCTGTCTGCAAACAAAAATGTTTTTTTCGTAACTGCAGATTTCCTCTTCCCTGCAGGATACCCCGCACCAACAGGCCTGGGAGGGAATGTACCCGCTACACCCAGCACACGCTCCCTTACCATACTGATTGCAGACAGAAGCTAGGGAAAAACAGTGTTCTCTGCATAATAGATACAATATCTTACATAACATACAATAAGTACGACAGACAACAGCTTGCAGGAGGTACCCAGCCTTTCAGGAATTGCAAGCTGCCAGATCAGAGATCTAAAGGAGCCAGGTTCAGAAGGAGCACCTGCTATTGGACTTCATGGCCCATGACAGTCAGCTCTGCCAGGGGTACCTTCCCCCTCCCTTTAGGTTTGGAAGGACATCTGCTTATGAATCTCCGATTCTGGCAGCCACCCCTGAAGAGGGAGCAGAATGAAGGAGACAGGCACGCTGCTTGAACTCTAGCGTCTCCCCTTGATTACTTGCATCACACACATACCTGTAGCCTTTAGCGGAGTTTTCTCTCCTAGCAACAGCTTTAACCTTTTGGCATGGATTTTGCCTTGATAATGGGAATCGGCCACCACCGCTGAGGTAAAAGACATGTTGCAGAGTGTGCAGCACTTGTTCTTATCCACCATATCAGCACCACTTCCCTGCCAGGAGAGGAAAAAAAGAAAAAAAGATAACATTAGAGAGAAGCCCAAGTCCTGCGATGTCTTTATTCCCATTCCATTCTGTGGCAGATGAAACTGGCCACAGACTTTCTTATGGAAATGTCTGCAATTTCTTGGTGCTTCAAGATTAAGCATCAAAACCTAACTCAGTTCCTGAGTTCACCCCACATTTATTTTGTGGCTGCTGCTGCCAGGCACTGGGAATATAGGACAAATGTTCAGATAGGAATTACCAGGAGCAAAAGGAGCCCACAATTAGGCGAGAACATATTGTGTCTGGCTGCCATGAGGAAAACAGCCTCTAATTGCACCATTATACTCATTAAAATAGATAAAATATCAGAGTTCGGGTGACCTGAATTATTTAGCAGAAATTATCATTTGACATTCAGCTCTTCCTTTGACCAATTTTAGCATCACCAGGCTCCAGGGCCATGTGTTCAAAGGGAATGTTTAAGATTTATTTAAGGGCTTGAACATTTTTCATAATTAATTTGTGTACCTATAAGCACCGGTGACCGTGCTGGCAGAATTTTCTATGTGCGTTTGTGTGATTTTTCCTTTTCTTCATGAACGTGATTAAATGCCACACACCCAAAAACTGAAATCCAGCTTGATTTTTATTTTATTTTTTTGTAAGATTTGATGAAAATGAAACGTGAATCAGAAGAAAAAAAAAGAAATCCTTTGTCGGCCCATGTGACCAGGCTATTGTACACACACCATCAATTGCCTATATTTTGCCAGGGGAATATTAATCCATTGGCTCCCCTCCTGCCTCGTTGGAAATTGAGGGTAAAGTGGACTCTCAGATAAGGAGTTAATCTATTCCTTAATGGAACAGCAATAGCAAAGCATCTCTTTGTTCGCGCAGGCCCTGGGTGAGTCTCCGGCCCCACACAGGACATTCTCTTATTTCTAGCCAGCCCAGGGAGTGCAATTTAAAATGGCATGGGGAGAAGGATTAGGGTGAGGAAGGGATGCAGACAGGGAATTATACTGTGTATTTTTTTTTGCATAATAATAAGATGTCCAGACTGCTGGAGAGAGTATTGCCTTGCAAATTATATGGCAGAAGCCAAAACCAGTTTGGCTCAGTGGATAGAGTATCGGCCAGGTTCCATTCAGGTCAAGGGCATGTACCTTGGTTGCGGGCACATCCCCAGTAGGGGGTGTGCAAGAGGCAGCCAATGGATGATTCTCTCTCATCGATGTTTCTAACTCTTTATTCCTCTCTCTTCCTCTCTATAAAAAAAAAAATCAATAAAATATATTTTTTTAATTATGTTGCAGAAAACTAACTCTTCCTTCTTTAAGACTTTAGTCTGTAATTTCTGTGATAATTAGCCTTAGTTCTTAGGAGGGGTGGTGTGTGGTGGTTGGTTGAAGAGGGTGTGAGTGTGTGTGTGGCGGGAGGGAGTGGGGGGTGAGCATATGTGTTCCAGGGGCTGGCTTGAAGTTCAGGGGAGGAGGGGAAGTGAGAGACTTCAAAAGGGAATCTGTGTGTTTTGGAGTTACAAAGGTGTACCTACTGCAATTTATTCTCTTGATCTTAGAATATTAAACATCGGAGTGTTACCTTTTATTATAGTTAATGAATCAGGTGTGAGGGAATGTACTGCTGGGGGTTTGGAGGTGGTCAGTGAGAGAAAACGGATCCCCCAAATGTCCGTTTTGAGAGAGAAGGGGCTCCCCCAAATGTCCTCTCCTGGAAAGAGACTCACCTTAGGGCAGGACACCTGGATAGACACTGAAAGCTGTGCCCACTGAGCATGACTTTGCTGAGGATTTCAAGTCAAGATGTTTTGAGTTTTCCTCCCATTGAAAAAAAAAAAAAAGCCATAAACATGTTTATATCCTTGGGTGGTCTACAGTGAAGACTGACTAGGCCAGGCAGGAATGGGGAGAGTTGGCTTCTCCTCACCTACCTCTCCTACCAAGCCCTAGAGCTGACACATAACCCGTGGAGGGGGCAGAGCCCAGGAATGCCCAGAAATAACAAATTGTGGTGTTGCTAAGGGGTCAAGACCAGTAAATGAGGAGGTGATAGGCCAGGAGGAATGAAAGATACTTTCCTATTATGTGCTATGTGTTAGAAGGTATCAGTGCTACATTTTTTAAAAAATATATTTTATTGATTTTGTACAGAGAGGAAGGGAGAGAGATAGAAAGCTAGAAACATCGATGAGAGAGAGAGTCATCGATCAGCTGCCTCTTGCACACCCCCTACTGGGGATATGCCCGCAACCAAGATACATGCCCTTGACCGGAATCGAACCCGGGTCCCTTCAGTCCCCAAGCCAACGCTCTATCCATTGAGCCAAACCGGTCTCGGCAATGTGCTACATTTTTTTTATTTAATAAAATTAAAAATAATGAAAGAGAGGTTATTAAAATGAAAGGAGCAGCTCGAATTACCAATTTTTGATCTATTTATGCATGATATGCCTCAAGGTATGTAATTTTTCTTAAAAGGAGACACAAGATCGTAAGCCAAAGCTTAACCCACAATGGGAATTTGCACATCCTTGCTGCTACTTCCAATGAAAGTATAGCCAAACGTGGCCGCAGGAAGCAGTTCTTCTCTAATAAAAGGCCAGAAATCCAGAAATAGGGTCTGGTATCATGATGTGAAGTATACTCAGAACTAATTTCCAGGGCAAAGAATTGGCCTTAATGTGGATGATTTATGTCATTGATTCATTCAACACATTTTTAAGAAACTACTAAATATACTAAATATTAGATTCCGTACTAGATAAAAATGGCACTGCTCTCTGTTACCAAGGATGTTGAGACCAGGAGACTTGGAGAAGTCAGACCAAAAATAAAAATAAAAGTGTTATAATCAAGGAAACAGAGTCTTCTCTTGGACTTACATCCTCATAATTCTAAGGTTAAAAGACCATTAAGATAAGTCTATCTGTGTGGAGGTTTTTTTTTCTTCAAACCTTTCCCATGCCTGAAATGCCTTTATTCATCTTTTTTTTTTTTGTCTAATTTGGTCTTTTCAAAATTTGTCTTCATGGCGCAGTTTAGTCATCATTTCCTGAAGGTGAAGATTCTTCTGACCTCTCTACTGTTCTGCAGAAGTAAGCATTGACCTTGTGGTCTTCTATCTGCCCTGTACATAATTCTTTTACCATAGAACACTAATACATTTATTTGTTTCCCTTGTGAGCCTATAAAATTCTTTTAAGATCAAGAAAATAATCTCACTGATTTAAAGCCCCAACACTTAGCACAGTGCTTGCCAGACAGGGGGACCTTTAGTTGTTTACTGAATGAATGGAGTTCTGAATTGTTTTATGAAGTTAATAATTTGAATGACATAAGTAAAAAATGAAAACAGATAACACATGGGGGTCTTGTTATTATCGAAATTCTTTCAGGTTTACAGGAAGATAACTAAAAAGAAAAAAAAATAGGCATCAACAATTTATTCCTAACCTGAGAGTTTAAGTAAGAAATTTTTCTCCTAAATTTGTTAGTTTCATCATAGTTTTAATATATATTCCTAGATTTCTGCTTACCTCGGCAATCTCATTCCCATAGTCATTATAGGAGAATCAAATAATAATAGAAAAGGAGAACCAATCATTATGAAAGTAGATACCATGGGATGTATTATAGTTATGCCATAATTATAAACGAGGGACCAAGAAAGTTTGGGTACTTGACAGTAGAAGGCCCATTATGCCTTGAGAAGTTAGGTGGCCACTAAGGCCAATAGGACATGCTTATGGGATATTTTATTAAAGGAGCAGATTGTAAATATCACCTCTTCTGACTACTTTAATGATCTTCGTGAAAAAAACAACTACTTAGGAAAAAATCTAAATATAAACCAAGTGCCTGCAAAGAGAAAGAATTTAATTGTGCTTTCTTCCTTATGTAAATTCCCAATTAATGGTTCTTTGCAAATATATATAATATCTATATTGAAGTCTCCCACTGTACCCAGAGCAATGTTGATAGATTGTCCAGGGGAGAACTCCATAAAGTTTGATGAACTGACTTCAATGAATACATTTAAAGTTTCTGGCTTAAAAAGTTGAGAATGGCCCCAAGGTATCAAGTAAATGAAGAAGAAAACTAAGATTCTCTTAAAATATGGATTTCACACTAGAGGCAATAATTAAGTCAGACTTTTTTAGTGCAATGTCCACATTGCTGAAAAATGTATATATTTGTAGAGTACCCTAAGTCTGCTTAGTCAAAGCATTTTTGCAAAGCTAAGAAGTTTTTAGAAGAATTCAATCACAGTGTAAAACCCTAGATGATTCTGCCCAGAAATCTAATCCAAGAAGGCCTTTCACTTTAAGATTTCTAAAATTTAATTTAAATAATTGCCTTCATTTTCTTATACTTTAGATAAATATAAAAAGTCTAAGAGAGAGACTTTCACTTCCAGTATTTCAGAGTAAGGACTTCTCTGAAACTGCTCCCCAGCAAACAACCATAACTAGTAAAAATTACTTCTTAAAAAATAAACAATTCTTTTAAGTATCTGGAAATTTTTCTAAGAGCAAATGGCAAATTAAGGAATATTTGTTTAATAAAATATACTAAATTTCGGTAAGAACTTCAGCTACAACAATCTATCTTCCCAGCAGCCCTCAGTTCCACATGATGGTTGGGTGGGGTCAAGAAAATAGAGCTCCTTGACCCATCAGCTCCCAGTTAAGGGAAAACATGAAGGAAAGGCCATCTAAATTAATCACATTACCTTCATTTCTAAGTTGAAAAAGCTAAATTCTTGGTAATGTAGCCATAGAATCAAGTACTCTCTTCTTTCACTCACCCTCATGTACAAGACAGAAGCTCTATCCTAAGCACAGCAGGCTAAGAATATTGTAACTCTGATTGCCATTGCCTCAGCACACATGCTTATCTGTCCATGCCAGGACAGATAAGCTGAGAAGACCAGAGTCTGCCACCTCTGCCCAGCTAATAAAGCTGGGGTTTCACTCTGAGAG